ACATCATTGGTATTGTCATTTGTCAAAACCATATCGTTGAGCTCATTTTCTCAGCCGTAAACCGTTTCTTAAAATTCTACATAAGATCTAGATCAATTGACCATTAATAAAACTAAAGGTTTGATAAGAAAATTGTTGACGCATGGGAAAACTGACCATACACGACACACTAGTGTGTGCCACACAATGTGAATAGCTTAAACAATAAATAAATTAACCCAGAGTCCTAGTCTCTAATTATAGAAAGCAAATGGCGGCGACAACACTTGTGGTGTTATTATTGTCATTTCTCTCTTTGTTAACAAAATTTTTATACCTCTTGAGGAACCCCTCAAGAAGACTAACTCTATTATATAAACAATTGAAAAATATGAAAAGGGAATTTACCTCCGCTACAAAAGTGTATTTATCTCAGTTGGTTGAGCGAAATAACATAGGTGAAAATTTGAAAACACACAACTTTTTTCATTGGTTAGATATGTTAGGCGATGAGAAAAATCCTACTTTTACTCTGCGTTGGTTTTTATAACCAGATGATAAGTGAAAAAAATCCTACTTTTGAATTTTTTTTTTTAATTTTACATGATTTACTTTGAACATGTGTTTTTTTAAAACAAACTTAATTACTCATTTTGTAAAACATAATCAAATGAAATATTTGTGAAACAAAACAATATATATATACCTTATGTTCCAAAATTAAACACATTTTTTAGAAAAAAACATTGTTTATACCAAAACTCAAATAACACGCATATTTTTTTAAAACAAAACTAGAATATACAAATAATTAATCAACATGGGAACAACCAAGAGAAATCAACGTGTTTTTGAATAAAAAACACTAGGAACCAAAAAGTACATCACATAAGGTGATTAAAAAATATAAATGATAAATAAACACAAAAGAACAACATATTTAGTGATTAATAGACCAAAACGTACAAGTTAATATAGATATAAATGAATGTCAGAAATAATACCACATACTTTAGGAAAAATAAATTTATCCTTTTTATTTTAAAAACCACACATATGTTGTATCATTTCAAAGCTTTACATGTTAAAAAAAATTAAACACTAAAAATATTCAAAAGTAAAGTGAATATTTTAGTATTACAAATAATACCACTTACGCACAAATTATATCTTTTATCCTTGAATCATGTTTTTCTCCTAACAAACATAACATAAATACAATATTCTCCTTATGACATATAAATATTAAATGCTAACGGCCACAGTGCGAACACCAAAATAGTTAATAATGGGTATAAATTTGAATGTTTGATAAGATAAAGCAGAAGTTCATATATATTTACGAATACATAAACAATACTAGGTAACAAACTTTATTCGACTGGACTAGTTGACTTGCTATCTAAGTTTAGTGATGAGAGGTAGACATCATGTAAATTAATATGGGGTTTAAAGTACTTTTTTAGTAGTAATATTTAAGAAATGCACGGATTTGAAGTTAAATTTAGTGATATGTGATATAGACCAAAAATTGTTAGAAGATGATTCACCTGTAACTAATTGCCAACTTAATTAGTCAAGATGATTCATACATGTAATATTTATAAGATTATTCACATATGTAGTTAATTATTTAAAATACACATTTCTTTTATATGATTTACCACACAAATTAAGGTGACAATATATAAATGAAACTAATTTTAGAAAAGTCAGCACCATCACAAAATAAGTGCCACTTAAAACTAAAAAAAATCATTTTTCACCTCCAGCCATCTTTTCTCCATCATCACACAACTCACTCATTCAAACATCATCACACCCAAATAGACAAAAATATCATTTACACAACACAACAGACACACACACAATAACATTTAATCTTTGATTTCAAAACAACCCAACAAAAAGAAACACCCAAAAACATAAAATTCCAACAAATAATACTATTTGTTCGTCATAGCTATCACAGCTGCGACCTCTATCCTCTTCGTATTCTATTTCCGACAAACTGATCCTTGACATATTTGTTTCACCATCGGCCTATCACGCCAACCCAAACCATCATCGTAGATGAATTTACCACATCAACAATCCCCTTAGTCACAATATTCCAGTATGCCACGATGCGTGACGTTCCTTAACAGACCAAAAAGGAGATCAAAATATCATTGGACGTACTACAATCCCTAGGGCCATGCAACTTCCTCGTAATCGGAATAGGTCACAACGCACTCATGTGGGATTCGTTTAATCCACGTGGTATCATGCTATTCCTCGAAGAAGATCCTAAGTTGACAATTTATTCCCTTAGGGGTTTTCTTATTCTACGCGCCTACACAGTGTGTTACAACACGCGCCTAATGAAATCCAGCGCTTTGTTATCATCCTAAAAGAAGAATTATGGGGTGATCGGCGGAGACGACCATCCTCTCAAGGATTATCGTCAGTGTAGAATTGCATTAGGAAATTTTATAAATGAGGTGTATGATCTGGATTAGGATGTGATTATGATTGATGCCCCGAGGGGGTATTTTCTGTCGGGTCCAGGGAGGATGACGAGGATATATTTTGCGAAGGTGATGGCGAATGGGAGGAAAAAAGAGAGTGTGACACACGTGTTTTTTCATAATGTGGATATCGATGTTTAGAAGTTGTATGCTCAAGAGTTTTTATGCATGAAATATAGAGTTGGCGGTGTTAAGAAACTTTGGCACTTTGTTATTCTACATGCGGTTAATGTTACTAATACTGCACATGGATTTTGTTAAAAGGGTAATAATGTTTTCTTCTTTGTTGAGTAATTTCCAACTTCATTAGTTATTCCACATGTTGTTAATGTTATTGATATTGTACATGAATTAACCATAATTTATTCTTTGATATAAAAAATGGTGATAACAGTATTTGTATTGTCATATGTGAAAACTGTTTCGTCGAGGCCGTATTCGCGACCAAAGATCGTCTTTTAAAATCCTGCATATGATCTAGATAAATTGACCATTAATAAAACAAAAGGTTTGTTAATAAAATTATGGATGCATGGGAAATTGACCGTACACGACACTATAGCGTGTTCCCCCCAATGTGCAAAGCTAAAAAAATAAATTAAGAACTAACCTAGAGTCATGGTCTCTAATCGAGGAAAAATATGGCAGCAACCACACTTGTGGTGTTAATTATTGTCGTTGCTCTCTCTGTTAACAAAATGTTTATACCTCTTAGGGAACCCCTCAAGAAAGCTATCTCTACTATATAAACAATTAAAAAATATGAAAAGGGCTTTTACCTCTACTAGAAAAGAGCTTTTATCTCAGTTGGGTGAGCGAAATAACATAGGTGAAACCTTGAAAACACACAAATTTTTTCATTGTTTAGATATGTTAGGCGATCAGAAAAATCCTACTTTTACTCTCGATTGGTTTTTATAACCGAGATGATAAGTGAAAATTTTTTTAGGGGATTTCGTTTACCTTAGTTGAGAGTTCCAACCAAAGAAAAATCACTTGTTTTTTTAAATATATATATATATATATATATATATATATATATATATATATATATATATATATATATATATATATATATATATATATATATATATATATATATATATATATATATATATATATATATATATATATATATATATATATATATATATATATATATATATATATATATATATATATATATATATATATATATATATATATATATATATATATATATATATATATATATATATATTTTATATTTTACATGATTTTATTTTGAACCTGTGTTTTTTTTAAACAAGCTTAATTACACATTTTGTAAAACATAATCAAATGAAATATTTGTGAAACAAAATAATATATATACCTTAAGTACTAAAATGATACACATTTTGTTGCAAAAAAGCATTGTTTATACCAAAACCCAAATAACACGCATATTTTTTTTCAACAAAACTATAATATACAAATAGTTAATCAACAAGGAAACAACCAAGAGAAATCAACGTGTTTGTCAATAAAAAAAACACTAGCAAGCAAAAAGTACAACACATAAAGTTATTAATAGATATAAATGATAAATAAACATAAAAGAACAACACATTTAGCGATTAATAGATACAAAACATACAAATTATTGTAGATATAAATGAATGTCACAAATAATATCACTTACTTTAGAAAAAATAAATTTACCCTTTTATTTCAAAAACCACACATATATTGTATCATTTCACACCTCTACATGTTGAAAAATATTAAATATTGAAAAAATTCAAAAGTAAAGTGAATATTATAGTATGACAAATAATACAACTTACACGCTAATTATATCTTTTATCCTTGAATCAAGTTGTTTGTCTAACAAACATATTACAAATACAATATTCTCCTTAAGACATAAAATTATTAATTGCTAATGACCACTCCATGAACACCAAAATAGTTAATAATGGGTATAAAATTGAATGTTTGATAAGAGAAAATATAAGTTCATATATACTCAAGAATACATTAACAACATTAGGTAAGAAACTTTATTCGACTAGACTAACTGACTTGCTATGTAAGTTTTGTGATGAGAGGTAGACATCATGTAAATTAGTATGTGGTTTAAAGTACTTTTTTGAAGTAATATTTAAGAAATGCATGTATTTGGAGTTAAATTTAGTGATATGTGAATCTAGACCAAAAAATTTCAAAAGATGATTCACCTGTAACTAATTGCCAACTCCATTAGTTAAGATGATTCATACATGTAGTATTTATAAGATGATTCATACATGTAGTTAATTATTTAAAACATACATTTTTTTATATGATTTACCATACAAATGTCTAAATGAAACTAATTTTAGAAAAGTCAGCACCATCACAAAACAAGTGTCACTTAAAACTCTAACAAAATCGTTTTTCACCTCATGCATCTTTTCTCCATCATCACATAAATAACTCATTCAAACCTCATCACACCCAAATAGTCAAAAACATCATTAACATAACACAAGAGACACACACATCAACATGCAATCTTTGATTTCAAAACAATCCAACAAAAATAAACATCCAAACACACCGAATTCCAACAACTCATACTACCTCTTCGTCATAGAAATATCAACCACAACCTTCATCCTCTTATTGTTCTATTTCCGACAAACCGATCCCCGAGACATTTGTTCCACCATCGGCCCCATCACGTCAGCCTAAACCATCATCCTGATGAATTTGTTACATCAACAATCCTCTTAGTCACAATCTCCCACAATGCTATGGCGAGTGACGTTCCTTAACAAACCAAAAAGGAGTTTAGAAGATTGTTCGACGTACTAAAATACTTAGGACCATGCAACTTCCTCGTATTTAGAATAGTTCACAGCGCGCTCATGTTGGTTTCCACGTGGCATCACACTATTCAAAGAAGAAGATCCTAAGTTAAAAATCTATTACCTTAGGAGTTTTCCTATTCTACACGCCTACAAAGTGCACTACAACACGCGCCTAATGGAAGCCAACACTTTGTTATCATCTTATAAGAAAAATTGTTGGGCGGTCGACAAAGACGACCACCCTCTCAAGGATAATGGTCGGTGTAGACCTGTATTAGGAGAGTTTTAGAATGAGGTGTATGATCGGGATTGGGATGTTGTTATAATTGATGCTCCAAGGGGGTATTTTCCGTCGGCTCTAGGGAGGATGACGAGGATATATTTTGCGAAGGTATTGGCGAGTGGGAGGAAAAAAGAGGGTGTGACACACGTGTTTCTTCATAATATGGATAAGGCTGTTGAGAAGTTGTATGCTCAAGAATTTTTGTGCTTGAAATATAGAGTTGGTGGTGTTAAGAAACTTTGGCACTTTGTTATTCCACATGCGGTTAATTTTACTGATACTGCACATGGATGTTGCTAAAAGGGTTATAATGTTTTCTTCTTTGTTGAGTAATTTCCAACTTCGTTAGTTATCCCACCTGCTGTTAATGTTATTAATATTGTACATGAATTAACCATAATTTATTCTTTGATATAAAAAATGGTGATAACGGTATTGGTATTTTCATCTGTTAAATTTTTTTCGTCGAGGTCGTTTTTGCGACCAAAGTCTGTCTTTTAAAATCTTGCATACGATCTAGATAAATTGACCATTAATAAAACAAAAGGTTTGTTAATAAAATTATGGATGCATGGTAAAATTGACCGTACACGACACTATAGTGTGTTCCCCCCAATGTGCAAAGCTAAAAAAATAAATTAAGAACTAACCCAGAGTCCTGGTCTCTAAACGAGGAGAAATATCGCGGAAACCACACTTGTGGTGTTAATTATTGTTATTGCTCTCTCCATTAACAAATTTTTTATACCTCTTAGGGAAACCCTCAAGAAAACTACCTCTACTATATAAACAATTGAAAAATATGAAAAGGGCTTTTACCTCTGTTAGAAAAGAGCTTTTATCTCAGTTGGGTGAGCGAAATAACATAGGTGAAAACTTGAAAACACATAACTTTTTTCATTGTTTAAATATGTTAGGCGATCAGAAAAATGCTACCTTTACTCTCGGTTGGTTTTTATAACCGAGATGATAAGTGAAATTTTTTATAGGGAATGTTGTTTACCTTAGTTGAGAGTTCCAACCAAAGAAAAACCACTTGTTTTTTGAAATATATATATATTTTTTTTAATAATTTTACATGATTTTAGTTTGAACCTGGGTTTTTTTTAAACAACTTTAATTACACATTTTGTAAAACATAATCAAATGAAATATTTGCGAAACTAAACAATATATATACCTTATGTACCAAAATGATACACGTTTTGTAGAAAAAAAGCATTGTTTATACCAAAATTCAAATAAAACGCATATTTTTATTCAACAAAACTAGAATATACAAATAGTTAATCAATAAGGCAACAACCAAGAGAAATCAACGTATTTGTCAATAAAAAAAACACTAGGAAGCAAAAAGTACAACACATAAAGTTATTAATAGATATAAATGATAAATAAACATAAAAGAACAACACATTTAGTGACTAATAGATACAAAACATACAAGTTATTATAGATGTAAATGAATTTCACAAATAATATCACTTACTTTAGGAAAAATAAATTTATCCTTTTATTTCAAAAACCACACATATATTGTACCATTCCACACCTCTATATGTTGAAAAAAATTAAATATTAAAAAAATTCAAAAGTAAAGTGAATATTATAGTATTACAAATAATACATCTTACTCGCTAATTATATCTTTTATCATTGAATCATGTTATTTGTCTAACAAACATATCACAAATACAATATTCTCCTTAAGACATAAAATTATTAATTGCTAATGGCCACTGCATGAACACCAAAATAGGTAATAATGGGTATAAAATTGAATGTTTGATAAGAGAAAATATAAGTTCATATATACTTAAGAATACATTAACAAGATTATGTAAGAAATTTTTTTCGACTGGTGATGAGAGGTAGACATCATGTAAATTAATATGTGGTTTAAAGTACTTTTTAGAAGTAATATTTAAGAAATGCATTGATTTGGAGTTAAATTTAGTGATATGTGAATCTCGACCAAAAACTTTCAAAAGATGATTCACCTGTAACTATTTGCCAACGTCATTAGTTAAGATGATTCATACATGTAGTATTTATAAAATGATTCATACATGTAGTTAATTATTCAAAATATACATTTTCTTTCTATGATTTACCATACAAATGTCTAAATGAAACTAATTTTAGAAAAGTCAGCACCATCACAAAACAAGTGCCACTTAAAACTCTAACAAAATCATTTTTCACCTCATGCATCTTTTCTCCATCATCACATAAATAACTCATTCAAACCTCATCACACCCAAATAGTCAAAAACATCATTAACATAACACAAGAGACACACACACATCAACATGAAATCTTTGATATCAAAACAACCCAACAAAAAGAAACATCCAAACACACCAAATTCCAATAACTCATAATACCTCTTCGTCATAGAAATATCAACCGCAACCTTCATTCTATTCTTATTCTATTTCCAACAAACCGATCCCCGACTTCATTAGTTATTCCACCTGTTGTTAATGTTATTGATATTGAATATGAATTAACCACAATTTATTCTTTGATTTAGGAAATGGTGATAACACTATTGGTATTGTCATTTGTCAAAACCATTTCGTCGAGCTTGTTTTCGTAACCAAAGACCTTTTTTTTAAAACCCTTCATGCGATATAAATAAATTGACCATTAATAAAACCAAAGGTTTTCTACGAAAATTGGTGAGGCATGGGATAAAGTTTTGAAAAATACCTCCTTCAGTTGGATTTGGATAGAGCAATGTAGGGACTTTGATGGAGGCCTGAGGATCGTGTGAGCTTCCTTGATCTTCCTTCAAGCTATTCCAATGCCTAACATGCTTTGTGGATGGCCAAAAGTCTCTGCACAAGTCAAGATGCAAGCTCCAAGTTTGAAAATGCAAATGGCTGAAACAGGGCTTACAGATGCAGGATGAATGCTTAGACTGCTTTGGTATGATGTGTATGAAGTGTTTCAAATGTTAAAATGCAAAACGCACGAGCCAAAAATGAAATGGCTATGATTTTGCAGAACTGCTATGTTTGGACAGAAAAATGGAGTTTTTGTGTTTGAGAGTGTTTCAGTTGTCAAGAAATCATCTTCTGCCTTGTGATATGTTTGTGTATATGTATAGAAATGACACAAAGGTCAACCCTTACTAGCTGTACAAGTTCTAGCACCTTTTGCAACTTTTCTTGCATTTTAAGTAAAGTGAAATGACAAATGAAACATGCTTGTACTGGATACCTCAAGGGCTGATAAGAGTTTTTATACATTGCTTGGGACCTGTGGAAATTGTTTGCATCAAAGGGACAGGTCCAAGGCTCAAGATTTGTAAAGTTGCAAAATCCCACCTTTATGAAAATGGCATTGTAACCTTTAAGCCTAAAATGGAAATGTCTCTTGTACAATGCTTCAAAAGTGAAAATAAAGCCTTTAACTTCTGAGTTTTCATTTAAGTATGGAGTGTAGAATGAGTTTAGGACCTTTAAAGCAAGATACAACCATCATGGATCTGATTTGCAACTTGACACTTTGTGAAAATGGCATGAACAAAAGTGATAAAATGCCAACTTCTCCTCTTCGATTTTCCCTAACCAAAAATGATCTTGGAGAGTTCTTTGACATTTTAGAAAGCTTGTCATGTTCTCTATAATCCATATTTGAAATTAATTTTGAGATACCTCTTGGAACTAGGTGAAAAATGTCCATGAAGTTGTGTCCAAAACCTGCCTAAATTAGGGCAAAATTTCACTAAGTTATTTAGTTCATGGACCTATATTCACAAATTAATAACTTGAGATCCTAGCATATTTTAGGAAAAGTTTGTGAAGAAAAGTTGTATATTTCATGGAGGACTACCACTTTCATGTTGGAAGTTCTCTTTGAATAAAATTGCATCATGATGAAAAAGTGGTGAGAAGTTGGGAAAAAATAAGAAAATTTCCATACTTAGAAAAATTCTAAGTTATGAAAATTTTCAAATTCAAAACCCTAATTTTCAAAATTGGTTTTCTTGGTCAACAAGTTTCACATTTTGACATATCTTGATGAATTATGACCCTTGGCATTTGATTTTGACCAAAAAGTCAAAGTTTGACTTTTCAGTGTACGGTTGACTTGTGATCAGTTGACTGCAAAATTCATCTGTCAATCTATTGAACTTGAGATCTTTTGAGCCATGTAATTAGGTCAAGATGATTCCATTGAACCCTTGAAATCATGTTTGAAACCAATTGCTCATTGGCTAGGTTAAAAATCAGAAATTGCCCTTTCTCAATCAAAACCCTAATTTTAACCATTTTGCCCTTTTGATGATTTGATCAAAATTATTTAGGAGTTGTGATCCAAACTCGATCAAATGGTACATATGAGTCTAAAATGTTGTTGTGGATCAAAAATTATGAAGTTTGACTATAAATTGGCCATGGTTGACTTTTTCCCCAATACAACTGATTTTTAGGTCAACTGTCCAATTGACTGATCAAAAATATGGTTCAAGGCTTGAAACATAGCATGAGCAATCTTAGGGGTCCAACATGATGTATGAAAGTCACATGAAGCATTGGTGGTCCAAAAATCCTTGTGCAAACTCAAACCCTAATTTTAGGTTATCAGTGCAAGATGAGGTGTATTGAGCTGACCAAACCCTAATCCTGTCTTGAGTCCAAGAGGTCTTGTGAGAAAAATATTGATAAATGAGAGGGAAAATTTTGGGGTACAACAACTTCCCTTGTTCAATCTTCTTGAACCTGAAGAGTTAGATTAGAGAGTCTTGTCGTTCGTGACTCGAAGGTAAAAGATGATTGGACACTAGAGTGCCCATAAATTTGCACTCGTCAAAGTGTAGTTGAGGGAATGGGCTTACAGATGCCATTTGGAGAGGTGATAGAATCTTGTTGGAGATGGGCTTGTAGATGCCATCCAAGAATGTTTGCTGAATTGTAAGTTGTAAGTCAGAAGAATAAGTATCAGAATAGTGTCTGCATCTGGAACGTATCTGAACTGTATCTGGAGACCGATCCTATATGAGCAACATAATAGAATCCGTGTCTGGAGCATATCCGAGATGTATCAAGAGTGTGAAATCTGAATGAGAAATAGAATGGCTTCCATGTCTAGAGCGTATCTGGACTGTAATCTGAATAAGTGACAGAATGACTTTCGTGTCTGGAGTGTATCTGTACTGTAACTTGAAGTTGAAGTTTGGATGAGTATCAGAATGGCATCCGTGTATGGAGCGTATCTGTACTGTATCTGAATGTTGAGGTCTGAATGAGTATCAGAATGGCATCTGTGTCTGGAGCGTATCCGAACT